TGGGTCAGAGATGAGATGCTCTAAGTCACGGCTCAGAGCATCGCTGGCGACCTGCAAGCTTTGGCTCCTGCCTGATAGACGGTGTTTATGCTTCTAAGAAACAAGGGGAACGGTGAGATTGAAAGAACTGGGGAGAAAAGAGGGCAGACGGCAACACTGCTAACCTAGCTACTGTCCACGGTAGAGATTTGGCGAAAGACCTTGAGGACCACGGGCTGGTGGGAAAGCCTACCCCGTGAGAGGTGAGTCTGCAGCCTTAGCCTCCCCCGCGGCTCACTGGGTGACCAATGGAAGGTGCTCTCTCTGCTCAGGCCAAAGAGCCCCGGCCTTGCCCTCTCAAGACTGTCAGGCTCAGCAGGGCACCCCCACCCGCCCTTCCCCTCGATGTTGGGCCCCGCACAGCCCCCATCCCAGGATGGGCTCCTGCCCCTTCCTGTGCCTGTCTCAGCCCCATCTCTGCTCCAGGTGAGCTCCCCCAACTGTTCTCACTGAGCACACACCCTGGGCCCTCTGGCCCAGCCACTGTCCCCTTTGTGACACTCTGCATATGCCCCACATCATCCATTTGTCCATTTCTTTCATCTGACCCCCAGCTCCAGTGTGCATGTCCCAGAGGGCAGGCCCACAGCTGTTTGGTTTCCTGTTGAGTTGTCTACATTGGTGACAGTGTCTGGCACTTCCTAGCAGCTAAACAATATTTATTGGACTAATGAAGGAATGAGATCATTAAAAATATTGCCTTACTCTCCTGGATACACATTCGACAGGCTTTTGAGAAGCCCCTGGGGTCTGCATCACTGTCCCAGCCATTTGGCGTGGGTGTGTTGCCTGCCTCCCACAGGCGGAGCTGGGTGCTGGGTCTCCTCTGGGCCTAAGACTCACCAGACGTGCCCTCGAGGGTGTTGCTCTCTGCTGGGGTTGGGGTGCTGCTGGCAGTTCCGCAGGCAGATCTTGCACCCTGTCCTCTGAGCCTTTGTGTGAGCTGTTCCTCCACCTGGAAGGCCTCTGCATCCCTGCCGGCTCAGCCTCCCAGACTTCCTCTCCCCCTCCACTCTCGCCCCCTCTATGTCCTGCCCCCCAGTTCCAGCTCCTGTGAGCTCTGGTGCAGAACTTTCCCACGCTGCATGAATTGATGGGTCCCGGGGTGCCCCTCTCCCAGGCCGTGAGCTGTGGCCAAGGCTTCCTTCCAGCAGCAGCCACGGGGAAGCAGTGTCCACTCCATTCTGGTACAGGTTTACGGCAGAATGGATTTAAAAATATATACACACACACGTATGTATATATATCTTCCACACGCTCATCTTATTTCTCTATCTCTATATCTATCCTTATCTCTGTATTTATCCTTCATGCCTGCTTATATATCTATTTCCATATCTTTATCTGTATCTACCTCTGTCTCTATCTGTATTTCTATCCCCACCCCACAAGCTGCTCTAACCACATGTTTGAGGTTCCTCCCACAGTGGGTGGGTCTGGGCGGGGAGCCTTTGACGGCCTCCACAATAAGGTGTGACAGAAGCGATGCTATGGCACTTGCCAGGCCAGGACCTAAAGAGGATGAGGGCTCTCCTGGTTCCTCCTTTCTTGGGACATCCTCCCTTGGGAGCCACCACATGGTGGGGAAGCCCAGGCCACAAGGAAAGGCCAGGTGTAGGTGCCCCTGTCGTCAGCCCCAGCTGAAGTCTCAGGTGACAGCAGCACCAACTGCCGGGCAGGCAGCTCCCACCCTTTGAGAGGCAGCAGCTGACCCGAGGGGAATGGACAGTAGCCCCGGCACCCGGCCAGGCCCTGCCCAAACTGTAGACTCAGGAGCAAAACAAAGTGTGTCACTGGTCTAAGCCACCACGTTTCAGGTGATCTATATGTGGTCATTGCAGCTGGAACAAGCTCCTATTTCCAAATGACCATGACACTTTATCTGTAGGTAATTGAAATATTAACTGTAAGAGATAATTCACTGACAGCTTCTCTATGCCAGGCGGTGAGCTGAGTGCCTTGTTTCTTAGTCCTCTCCACAGTCCTCTGAAGTGAATTCTACTATGACCCTCAGTTCACAGGAAAAATCTCAACTTTGGGACAGTCAGCAACTTGCTCAAAGTCACCTGGACAGTGACGCAGCCAGCACATGCACGAAAGTCTGTCTGACTCTGGAATCTGCTCTGAAACCACTGCCCGCGCTGTGGGGCTCCTGCCCGTACTGGAAGCAGGTATCCTCACTGTCACTTATTCCCGTGATGTCAGTGTTAACTGATTGACACACCCTCAGTTTCCTGCTAAATTTTTACAGCTCAGAGGTCACTATTGCATTAACCCAAGTTATGCTAGTACCATTTAAAAGGAAAGTGAAACGTGAAAAAAAATTAAAATAAGTTATAAGTTAAAAGAAATCTTAGCCTATTGTATTTCTATAATGTCTTAAATCTATGCAGAAGACTAAAAAGGGAATTCCCGCCTCAGCCCTCAAAGTGGGCCCGTATTTGAAATACAGTCCATATACACATATAAACCAGCTTTATTCAAACTCAGGTTTCTCCCTGGGGGCTTCTCTGATCACATCAGGGTTGACCTTTCATGTCCAATAACATGTTGATTGATACGTAGATAGATATGAACACAGATGTACATATAAACATAGAGATGATCTATTTGTCAATCTATCCATCTACAACTGTAGATGGAATTAAATTCTCTTAGATTCAAAATCATAGTTATGTGCACTAAAAGGTAAGTTCCAAACATTTGGGTGAAAAGCAAAAATGTCTGGAAATTTTCCTACCGGCCAACGGGTACCTTGCATTTCCAAACACTAAGCTCATGGATGTTTTCACATTTTGTCCAGCACAAAGGCCACAACTGTATGAGCCCGGAGTCCTCCTGCTGGCATCAATTTTGGTATAATTCTGGGTCGCTGTGAGCACTGGGTAACTACTGTTTGAGTGTGATGACGGTGATGATGATGACGGTGATGAAATTTGTCGTGGGGCTGACAGCGGTCAGACAGCCCCTCTGCAGGAGAGACTGAGCAGAGTTTAACGGAGGAGGGTTACGAATGCAGGAATAGGGTTAAGGGAAATCGAGAGATGGTGAAGTACTGGGGACAAGCCGTTGCAGGAAGGACTTCCAGCCCTGGGCCTGAAGGAGCGGGTACGGGGACCTTAACCAAAACCAGGGCACACTGTGGCTGCAGGAGGAGCTGGCTGACTGGAGCTGCAGCCACGAGTAAAGGACCGGCTGAGCAGGGAGTGGGACAGGGGAACAAACACCCCACCTCTCTCCTCCAGCCTCTCTTTTCCTGCAGCTGCCCCCATGACAGAACCACCTGAGAGCTGGAGGAAGGCAGCCCCGTAGCTGCGGCATGAGGAGAACCCGGGGCCCCAGAGCAAGGAGAGGACGTCGGACAGCGAGTCCTCTGCCTGGACTGCAGCACACTGGCTGACATGGGTGAAGATGAGCCTTGTGGCCCCCACATGGGAGACAGTCCAACCAGTCGCCAGCTTATTGTAAGGTGAGGTCAACTCAGAGTCACACACCTCAAATCCAAACCAGTAGTCACCAACTATACGAGATAACAGGGGACAAGGAAGGAGAGGAAAAATTAACATAGAAACATAGCTGCTCCCGGCCCTGTTTCTGGAGATGGTTGTGGGACTGAAGATGATGGCCACAGGACTGAAGATGATGGCCACAGATTCAACCAGCCGTCACAGGCTCCTTTCCCTCTCTCAGCTCTGCAAAGTTGCCTTACGACGTGGAGGGGTGACTCCGCCTTCTTTCCCACGGGGGCTAAGTCTTTCGCGGCCCTGACTTTATGGAGGCAATGAGGTCCTTGCTGACGAGTGCTGAGCGAGGTACTGAAGGTACCCAGAGTACCCTCCAGTTCTCCTTATCCCCAGGAGGTGCCAGAAATGTCATTTCCCTTCCATAATTGGGATGACTCACGAGCAAGCACAGCCACCACCTTCTCCACCTGTTGCTTCAGCACCACGAGGAGTCAGATGGCCCCTCAGAGGGACTTTCCCCTCACCACCACTCCTGACTGGGGCTGTGACGAAGCAAGCAATTACCTGGGACTGGAGCCAGCACACCGTGAGGTTCAGCTGTTAATCCCGGCCTGCACCTTCCCTTCTCAGCCCCTAGACCATGAGGAGCTCAGCAGGAGACAGAGCTGGGGGTGCAGGGAGAGGGAGCAGGAGGGAGCAGGTACAAAGGGAACAGGAATCTACTGACACCTTCCAGAACTCCTCAGGCCCAATCTCAGCTGGGTATTTCCACGTGGATGAAACGCTGCCATACATATCCACTTTTACGCAGGGTGGACCAGACAACAGGTCATGGTGGGCCTCAGGGTGCACTCCCTTGGTATTCTGTGCTCAGGCTATGAGCCTCTACCAGGGCAAGACGCAAGCCAGCTGGCTTCAATGTGGATGATCCTGACGGCAGAAGAGAGCACTGGCTTCTAGCAAAATCTCAGGGGCCCCCAGAAGCTCCTCCCTCCAGCTCCACAGAAGCACAGGCTTCCTCCCCAGGACCCCGCCCCTGAGGGCTGGGCAGCCCCCAGCCCCACCTGCCCTGACATCCCCCTGGGTGCTATTGGTGGTCTTATGGAAACTAAGGAGAAGGTAGATGTTGCCATGTACTGTGGACAAAGACAGTGTGTCTGAATAGAAACTCCACAAATCTAGAAATAAAGAGATGTTCAATAATTTAAAGAATACAGTTGATTACCTGGGGTTTTATCAAACATTGTTCCATCCATGACTAGTAAGTTGAAAAGTTGGATTTTTGTTTGACTAGTAATTATACAGACTTCTGTGCAATCAGACATGTTTTTATGAATCTTTTGAAATAAAGTATCTTCAGTCAAAACACAATTTTGCTGCTTGAGATTGTCTTGGATGTCTTAGCCACAAAAACAGAGTTTTAAAATATTTATTAATTAAAAAAAATTTAAAATTTTTTATACAAAGATGATGAGAAAAATCTCATGCAAACTCTGGGCATACAATAAAAATAACTCAAATATTAATATGATGATTTTGTACAAAATAATTCCTTTTTGAGTAGGACCCCCAACAGACAGTGCAGCCCCCTTCTCCAGGCCCGATGTCCCCGGGGAATGAGGCGATCGCCCTTCGCCACCTGCGGGTGATGTGTGGTCCATGTGTCGAGATGCGCACAGTTGTCACTATGAGTAATGGTGACTATCCTATTGCTGCTACTCAGGAAACAGACGGAGACCTCGGGACACTGGAGTAAGGAGTTCCCCGCCACCACGGAGCTCCCGAAGAATCCAAGAAACTCATAAAGGTTTTCAGAAAAGTTTCAGATAATCAGCTCAACTTGCGAAAAGGCCTTGAGATGGTTCTAGAAGGTGCCTGTTTCTGCTGACTTACAAACCTGAAGTGGATTTATAATTTGTGTATATTACAAGGAATTTGCATAATTAAAACAAGGGATCGACGTATCATGGCAGTTAGAAATGCATCAAACTCTGAACGTGGTACAAAAGAGAGCTTCAATATGAAACAGTAATCCTCTGAGAACTCAGCCCAAGGCGAAGCTGGAGAGCACCCCCCGGGGGGGACGCCGTGATCTCTGGGGGTCTCCCTAGGGCATCCCCCCTTCGCCCTGCAACTCTCAGTCTTATTGCCTTCTGTACAGACTCATCTCATTTTCCGTAGCCTGAGTCTGTTTTCCTTGTCCCGTTTCTTCAGAATAAGGATGAATTGGTTGAAAAAATGCTCCTGGTCCTTCCTCTTTTGAACAAGTCGAAACCTCTGGTCCCGGCCGTACTTCTCGGCAAACTCCTTAAACGTGGTCCTGAAAAACAGGAGCTTTCCTAAGACTCTTTCCCTGAGAGCGAGTCCTAGTCTTCTGACATCCAGGGCCCAAGAAGCAGAACACTAGCAGGTAGATGGGCTGCAGGGCACAGCTCTGGCCTCCCGTGCCTGCCCACCCTCCCCACGCTGAGTGTGACAGCCCACTGGGGCCCAGCAGGGTCCCTACCCGACTTAACCCGCAGAATCCCCATCTTTACATCTAATGGGACCCTGGAAATGAGCCTGGCCTCATCTGCCTCTCCAGCCCCGTCGCTCTCTGAGCTCCTCACTGCCCATATGCTCACCCATCACTGCTTCGGCCACACAGGTCTTCTTGTCTCTCTGGCTCTCACCAATCTCCTACCTGCCACAGGTCTCTGTATATGCTGTTCCCTCTGCCTAGCACACCCTTCCCTTATTTCTTCACTCCTCATTTAAAAAAAGCCCACTGATCGTTAGAAGTCAGGACCAGTGTTTCTTGTTCAGGGAAACTCAGCCTATCTAGAGGGTCAGAAAACTGTGTATCGCTCGTTCACGGCCCTTGTCATGGTTCTGGATGGCAATGAGCCTTAACTGTACAATTTTAGTCAACTCTCCTCTGCTCCTGTGGAAGCACCATTATCAGCATTGCTCTCCACTGAACTCCCTGAACGTCCAGCCCAGCAGCTGATGTGTAGTAAGCACGCAAATATGGATCAAATGAATCTGTCCTGCCAGGCGAGGGAGTCCCATGTAAGGAAACGCGCATGAAGCCAACCCAGCGAGGCCAGTCCCGAGGGGCTGGGGCAGCTCAAAGAGCAAAAGAGCATGCACACCTTTGCAGGGCCAAATTGAACCTTTGCCAGCACCAGGCCCCGCCGCTGTCTCTTCTCCCAGGCCTGAACTTGAAGCCACGAATAGTGACAGCTGCTGAACGGCCGAGGCCCGGGAGGGACGGTTCTGGCCTGCCTCCCTGTCTGGGGCCCTCACCTCGGAGCTGCAGGCTGCGCTGCAGGAGGCGCCAGGGTGCACGGAAGCGCGTCCACGCCTCGTCCTGGGGTGCCTCTTATTCCCCCCACTTCTCTTCGTGGAGAATTTTGTATCTCATTGCAGACATTTGATTATGCTATTAAATTGTTATAACTTAATAGCTTTTTCTATACATGAACAACAAGATTACACTGATATGGCCATTAGGAGACAAGACGAATAATTAATAGGTTCATCCTCATTGTTGTCACTAAACAGTCTCATTCCTTCTCCTCAAGCAGTGCCCTTTCCCTGTTCGTCCTCTGGGGTCGTGCTGGCTCACACACTTCTCTGAAAGAAAAGCATTTCTCTCTGGTTTTCAACTTCCTCCCTCCCTCCCAAGATGAGAATCCCTGGGGGCCTATTTTCTTCACTTGTCTAGACAGGAGCCTAAGCATTTTCAATTACAGGCTGGGCAGAGGCCCCTTTCACATAGGTCCTATTTGGGGCACCTCTGAAGAAGTGTCCCTGAAGAGAGAGAGAGAATTAAAACTCTGTGTGGCCCCTTAGTCGTGCCCGCGGGGACAGCTAAGCTTGCCACTGACCCTGGGGAACTGTCCAGGGTGCCTGAGGAAGTCATCTGAGTCATCAGCGCTGTGAACCCCTTTTCCCTCTGGCAAGTGGGGACACGGCCCGCCTGCAGTCGAAGGGGGTGGCCACCGGGGCCCTCAAGAAGGAGCGGCAGAACGCCAGCCCCACAGCGTGCCCCACATCCCCTCTCCCCATCCCAAGACCCCGAGGGCTGGGCAGGGCTGGGAGCTGGCTCTGGTCCGTCCCTGCAGCCTGGTTTCCCTCGGGCTTCTCAGGCGAGAGCTGAGGCCCGTGACCAGGACTAAAGCCTGGGACAACCGGTAGGCTGCGAAGACCCAAGAGGCTGCGTCTGAGGACGCTCAGGCCGCCGGCCTCTAACTCGCCCAGCATCCCGCATGCAGCCGTTTGAACCGCTCAAGTTTCACTAGGACGCCTAAGAGATGGCAGGAAGGCAACATGAACAAGAGCTACACAAGTTTTTGACAATGTTGCAGAATTAGCTGCTTTTAAAATGAAAAATAGTTTTATAATTATAAAAGTAATATATGCTCAGTGTACATTTAAAAAAAAACAGGCAATTAAACCTAATTTTAAAGAAGAGTAAGTTTACGTCTTGCAATTTCTCCCACTCACTTTCCTTCTCCGTGTGTGTGTGATCTTTTTCCCAACCGCTCGATACATTCTGCACGTTGTCTTCTTTGCCCTCATAATATATTCGTGAGAGGGGGAGATGCTGGCTTACTGTTGACTCTTGACCGATGGGCAGACAGGGAACATCAGCTCAATGTCCTTAATAATAATAACAGGAAGGAGACGGCACTCCGTCCCCGGCGCCCCCTCCCTGCCAGGCACCACGTGTGTTCTCCACTCCCAGCGCCTCACACACCCTCCTGATGGCCCCGTGAGGCTGGGGCAGCCATCCCCCGTTTAGAGGATGACCCAGAAGCTCGTGGAGGGCCAATACCTCACCCCATGGCCAGGGCTAAGGAGGGGCTGGGCTGTGCCCTGGGGCAGGGTCTCCAGAACCAATTTCCTCACCCCCAGGGTCATAGGGACCCTGATAGGATGCAGGGATGCTATGGCCAGAAGCCAACGTCCTCACCAGGACAGCCTCAGCCATAGAGAATCACCATTTACAAATCATTAGACACACATGTGCTTTCTTAGTTTGGTTAGAATTCTGTCACGGGGATGATTCATGCTAATTTTTTTCCCATTCAGAAGGAATCTATCCTTTAAATAGTTGAGGAAATTCTATGAGGACTACATAACCAACACTAACTTACGTTACCCATTTACTGACCAAGCAAATTAACCAATTATTGATCAAAGTGTAGACGCCTACCTCTTCAGAGAAAGCAAACATGAATTAATGTCTATTTAAAAAATAATTTTGAATGTATGTTATCCAAAATAATAATAAATAATTGTCCATTTAAAAATAATATCCCATTCTAAAATAAAAGTGTGTTAAAATTAATCATTTTTATACTTATGAAAGTAGTAGTTTTATAATTCTAAACTGTTCATTATTTTTTAAATGTCAATCAAAGCTAATATTAAAGAAAAAGTAAGCTTATGTATTTTTCTAATTCCTAATGTCTATTTTCCTACTAATTTGGGTTATTTTTTCTTGAAGAACATTAGCCCTGAGCTAACATCTACTGCCAATCCTCCTCTTTTTGCTGAGGAAGACTGGCCCTGAGCTAACGTCCGTGCCCATCTTCCCCTATTTTATACGTGGGACGCCTGACACAGCAAGGCTTGATAAGCAGTGTGTAGGTCCACACCCGGGATGCGAAGCCTGGGCCACCAAAGCAGAACGTGCAAACTTAACCACTGCACCACTGGGTCGGCCCCCTAAGTTGTTTTGATTCACAGAAAGAATGCCTGATTAGTTTAGGTGAGTTTTGGCGTCCAGTTCACCTCGTCCGTCAGCCCGTGTGTCAGATCTTCACTGCATATCTTGGCCAAGCCTCCGGCATCTGGAACCAAGGGGATTGGCCAGTTTATTTTGCTACTGTTGCTCGTTTTGTATTTTTACTCCTTGATGAGTAGATCAGAAATTAGACCTCATCTCATGAGGGCTGACCTATTGCTTAGTTATTTAGGCCAAGGATTCAGGGTTGCTCACATTTTGAAAACTAGACAAGGCAGAAAACAGAATAACTGTGGTGCACTGGTTAGCAGCACACACCTGTCTGCTGGACCGATACCGACGGGGGGTTCATTCACTGACCTCACAGGCTGGGGACGGCTGCTCTCTCCAACAGGTCTTTAAAATTACACTTTTGATGTCCACAGAACGTTAGGTTACGTGATTTAACCTAAGCAGACTTTAAAAGCTCACTTATCAGAATTGGAAAATTTCCAGTCCTGGAAATTGCCCGGCACATTCCTTTCTCCCTACCTGGGTGACACTTTAGATTCCTCTAGAAGTTTCTTGAATTCTTCTTTGGCTAGCAGCAATTTACTCTTCTTCTCCTTGTATTCTTCTTTTATTCTTGTCTTGACAAACTGTTCAAATATCTTAAAACACACACAAAAGCAAAGTGTTACAAGATTGCATATCAGAAACAATATCTTATGTTTCAAGCACCACATGAAAAGATAGTGAGCACCGAGGTGAGGCTTTCTTTTTCACAGTTACGGGGGCTGCTGCCACTCTCTCCAGGAAGCCAAGCATCTACAGAATTAACCCCAGATTCCCAGGAGGCCAGTCTGCTTCTCAGTTAGAGGCGCCGCCTGGGGCTCAAACGCAGAACAGGCCCTGCTTGCACCATCCTGGGAACGAGTGGTGGCTTTCTCGAGGCCCCAAGGAAGTGGTCCACGGTTTGGAAACCCAAGCTCCAGGGGCCACCATATTTCTCGTTTTGGAACTTCCTGAGCAGCATTTCCAGACATACGTTGTCTGCTGACTTCCACATTACTGCCAGTAGAACCAGTAATGTAATTTGTTCTAGTCAATTCCTACGGCGACATAATTGATATTTGAGCCTCCAAATGTGACTTTAACTTGTGTAAAGAAAGTTAACCCAGCACGTCTAACTTCCCCCACTCCAGTCTCCAGGAGGACCGCTCTGAATGTGGGGTCTGGATCACCAGGAGGGCTCAGGCGGACACGGTGGGCCTCCCCTGGGGGCGTCGTGGAGCCTGCAGGTGGAGGCACCCACCATGGAGACCTGACTCTCGGGTACTGCGTGCTCCACAGTTGGAAAGGAGTAGATTTTGAAGGCCAATCCAACAGGAAAACCCCGTTCCTCAGCGCAAAGGATGTGGCTATTGTCAGGTAGGCAAATCCATTCACAACTCCAGGACGGCTTCTCTTGGGAACACGCAGCCGACGTCACAACATGACACCATGGAATCTCTGCAGAAGTCCACAGACTGATCCTCCCTTGCTTAGGTTAAGACCACTCACCCTTCTGTTATCAGGAAAATCGCCATTTATAGACTACAAAGCCAAAGGGAGTGGAGACATAGCTGTTTCATTCCTAACACTACCCAGGCTCCAGGAACACTACAAAAAAAACAAACTGGATAAAATTTAAATGTGTATGCAAAAATAAATAAAAAGATCATTAAACATTCCACATGTGATCCTATAAGACCAATACACCGCAATCCCACACCAACGCAATCAATGGCCATGGCTGATGTTAAAACTTGACCCAAGTGCTCAGGGAGTCTCCAGATGCCTGCCAAGGAGATGGAATTGGAAAGTGAGGTGTGGCAGATCAAAGCCTCCATCACTTTCCCGCGCAGAAGTGGCTCTCTTCTGACCTTGTCTTCTGGCTTCAGGGTCCATCTCAGTAATGGCAAGGCTTTATAGGATTATAAATACAACATGCTACGCGCCTCCTGAAGACTCGGCGGTGCAATGAAATACCCACGATAGGACTGAAATTGAGCCCCTGTGCACATATATTTAAGTAGGAATGTGATTGGCTTATTTCATCTTCAAGGCAAGTGGTAATGTCAGCTCTCCAGTTGTCTTATAATTTAAACTCATAAAAAAGGTGAATGCAGGGTTATTATCCAAATAAAAGCATGTGGCTCCATCATTAGTTGGAGTTTTGCTCTATTAATTTTAAATCTAGATAGAAACCCTGGCTGGCTGTGGGGTCAGAGCTCCAAAGAAAGATATGCTTCTTTCTCAGCCTAGAACCGCCTCTCCATCTAATCAGATTCGTCTCTCTCCTCTCCCTTTGCTCTTTTGATTTATTTATGCCGCTATAATTTAATGGAGCACTTTTTACCCCGTCTTTAACAAATTATTCATTTTATTCAAAGTAGGGCATCACTTTTAAAAGAGATACCATTGGCCATTATCTCATTAAGGCATGTTCTAGTGCAATAAAATGAAACACTCTTCACTACCATAGAAGTGGGTCTGATTAGCACTCCCACTGATGACACCGCCTCTCTGGAGTCACTTCTCCTTTGCAGCCCCCCAGGAGACGGATGCTCATAATTTGCACACCATGAGCCTTGGCTTTCCTCAAGAAAACCCTGTGGGATAGTAGGTCCCATACGGATTCCGGGTTTGAAGCTCACTAACTCTTTTTCTTCATAAATAGGACTGTTTTTTGAGTGGGTGCTAAATATTATCTTCTTCGTCAGTTCAGCTTCAGCACCACTCCTTACATAAACTGCAACGTTTCCCCTTCCATGGGGTTTGCTTCTCTTCCAAAGGCAGGTGTGTGATCTGAGGGCTCTCGGATGCTGACGTGCACCCTCTTCCAGGGACGCTGCTTCCTTCTCTTCCTCACCGCCCCTCTGGGACCAAGCTGCAGTCTTGTAAGACAGGCCTGAAGCTTCCTTCGGGTGATTCCCAGGGACGTTTGAAGGCTTTCCCCAAATAGTGCATTCTTAGTGTGGGTTGACATTCCAGTCTGATCTGTCTGCAAAGGGTACATCTAGGTGCAGGCAGGACATCCCAGGATGTCCCAGCCCAAGCAGACACAGGCACCTCCCAGTCAGCCCTGCCCTCTCTGACCATGGCCTGTGGAAGTCCAGCCTCTCTGTGCTCCGGTGGCTGAGTCTTCTGCAGAATGAGCACCCGCCCAGCTATCAGGAGGCCAGGAGACCCCGTGCTGCGCAAGAACCAGTTGAGTTCAGCAAGTTTCCAGTCATCTTAAGAGATGTGCCATCAACATCACATCATCCTTTGGGCTTTTCTTTGACGGTGGGAGGTTTACTTCTTCAACTGTCTTCAAAGGGGCTGACGGCCTCTGAAAACATCCATGAACTGGAGAGCTCACAGTGTTGCCCACGCACAGGTCAGCGACCACACGGTCTACAGGTGTGCTGACTGTTAGTAGATATTAGCCCGTTTGTGGGTCTTCACATTGGCATAAAGTGATTCTGTCACAAAAATAAACAGGCTTCTGACTATGCGTTTTCATAATTGAATGGATGAACTTTCTGATTTTTAAGATTGAAAAAAAAAGGATGAAATATTACCAACGCTTAAAGTGTACAGTTTTCCCCAGCTTTAGGAAGAAAGTATATGATGCCCCAACTCAAACTGGAGCTCTGCCAGGTTGGCACTTCATCGGATCATCTTGGTTTATATGTGTAATGGAGCCCAGGACAGGATTGAAAATGAAATTGCACTTTCCATCCCCTCCCCCATGCTTTTGCAGACTCTGCTGTCTGAGAAATCGAATGGACGCTGTGCAAGCCCCTGGTGACGGAGCCTCTGAAATAAGTCTCATGGCTCATGGCTCTTTTGTTTGCAGTGGCTGCTCTTGACCCACTGCCCATGTGCATCATTTCTTCACTCAAAGGGTAGAGGGAGGGACAGACGTGATTGGGACAGGAACGGAACACAAAAATCTGGATCTTTGGGGTTTATTTCAGGGCCCTTCGTGGATGTGCTCCACGGACCACCTGGATCCCTTGCTGGGCTGTCCAAGCTTCTGTATTACGGCATCCGTCCCTCCCTGGCCAGGCAGCACAGCCTCTCCTTGCATCTGCCCATTAATCTGGGAAACAGTATTGGCTCCAAGACCCAGTTTGTGAACAAGCCAGGGCAGACCCCTGTCAAATCTCTATCCACAATGTTCTCCGTTTTAAAGCTATCTTTGATCCATTCTCTGCTTTTCTGCGGATGGACATGCTTTCTAGAGGCTTCCATCCTTTGCTGTGTTACTGTTGCCCCCTGGACTCTCTCCTAGTTCTCTATTATTACATAAGACCTTACGTCTTTTTAATACAGGAATCTGGGATGTGGTTAATGTTCTCAAAATTTGCATTTTTTGCAAATTCGCATTTTCATCTTTGAATATGAGTATTTGTCTTATGGGGTCATGACCAGATGGTTCTCTAAGAACAGCTACCAGGATAACCTTCCTCTGCACCTCAACCTCACTGTTCACAAGCTCACAAGTCGGAGCACTCAGTCCACGACCCCTCCCACCGACAACACGAAAACGACAGGCATCTGCTCGTCAGCGTGGCTCTCGGGACCGAGCGTCACTTAACGAACGCCGGGTCTTCTGCGCCGTGAGCATGCCTCACCACCGCCATGTTACCTGCTTACGTTCCTCACAGTTCAGCAGGAGATAGCGTGGATCAAACACGATTTTGTGTAGTTCTTTCTCCCAGGTAGAAAATGCTGACACCTGAAGAAAGATATTCAATAGAGCTGCTTTAGCATCTAATGCTGAGCCTGGAGTCGTGTGAAATGATCAATAGCAAAATAACAGCATTAGGAACCACCGGTCCAGTGATGCGGCGTTGTATAAAAGTGTTAGACATGTCAAACTTTCAAGAAAATCAATACTTAGAGCATTAGAAGATTTAATTTCTAGACTCATGACACTATTTCTCCCTTGGATACCTTTCAGGGCCATGTACTGGTGATCTGAAGCCCCGCTTATATCTCTGGAGCTGTGGCATCTGAATGGCACATCTTGAAAGGAGAAATGAAATTTGTAAAAAGTTCAGAATGCCACAGGCCATAACCAAGGGCAAAGTCTTGCAAATAGTCTGAGTTTAGGGTCATTTTGGTTGACTTTTTTTTTTTTTTTTTTTGGTGAGGAAGATTGGCCCTGAGTTAACATTTGTTGCCAGTCTTCCTCCTTTTGCTTGAGGAAGGTTGCCCCTGAGCTAACATCTGCACCAATCTTCCTCTATTTCATATGTGGGTCTCCATCACAGCATGGCTTGATGAGCAGTATGTAGGTCTGCACCTGGGATCCAAACCCGGGAACCCCGGGCTGCAGAGGCAGAGAATGTGATCTCAACCAGTATGTCACCAGGCCAGCCCCAGCATTTTAGTTGATTTTTAATCAATATTTAAACTTTTTGAGGCAGCTCATTTTTAAAGACAAACTTTTGTTTTCCACTTTTGATTGATAGAAAAGTTACAAGAATACTACACATTACCATACACCCCATATCCAGTTTCCCATAGTGTTAACATCTTACATTAGTAGGCTAGATTTGTTACTGCTGACGCTGATACACTATTATTAATAAAAGTCCACACTTCATTCAGCTTTCTTTAGTTTCTACCTAGTTTTCTTTTTCTGCCCGGATTCCACCCTGGACACCACATGACATTCATTCTGCTGTTTCCTTGGCTCCTCTGGGCTGTGACAGCCTCTCGGACTCTCCTGGTTTTTGATGACCTTGACGGTTTTGAGGTGTGAAGGTCAAGCAGGTTTGTAAGACACCTCTCTACAGGGATTTCTCTGTTTTTCTCATGATTAGACCGAGGTTATGGGTTTTGGCAGGAAGACCCCAGAACAAAGTGCCATTTTCATCTCATCACATCCAGTGCGTACTCAACCTGACTCGTCACTGTGCGTGCACACCTCGGTCACCAGGTGAGGTGTTTGTCAGGTCTCGCCTCTACAGATTTACTCTTTTTTTCCCCTTTTCCATGCTGCACTCTTTGGAGGAAAGTCACTGTGTGCAGCCCACACTTAAGGGGTTATGTTCCACCTCTTGGGAGGGGCCATCTATATAAGTTATTTGGAATCTTCTGATGGGATATCCATCCATTCTCTCATATTTACTTATTTATTCAGTCATTTAGTTATATCCTATGGACTCATGGATATTTATTCTATATTCTGGGTTATAATCCAACACGACTTCCTTTATTTTCTTGTTAAAATTGTTCCAGCTCTGTCCACTCAGACCAGTGGTGGTGGCCCCGTGTCCTTTGGGCATACCGCCATCACTTTATTTTCGGGCGCTTCCTCATTTTCTGGCACTTCGAGGTGCTCCAACTCATCTTATACATCTGCTGCCTTAGCCCTAGAATCAGCCAATTCTCTGGGAAGCCCTGGAGCCTCCTATCTGAGAACAGTACCAGAAACCACGATCTGGGTGCCGAGCTGCTCACCGCTGGGGACGACACTGCCTCTGGACTGTCTCAGCTGACAGAGCAGGAAATGTTCAAGTCACTTAAAAGTAATTTATTCATTTAAAAACACTGAGTAAATACTCTCGATACCTATGCCCCATGCTGGGTGCTGAGGATTTAGATAAAATAAATCAAGACCCTGAGATCAGGAAGCCCAGGGTCCAGGGTGAGGCAGAAAGTGAACTAACGACCTGAGGGCAATTAGCGTGGGACCAGAGACACGCCTAGGAGCTAAGAGGGCACGAGGAAGGGGCCTCTAACCCTCCAAGAGGAGTTTTCTAGAGTGCTGACTATTGGAAACATGAATACTCCTCCTGCCCTGTGAAAGGGCCTGAAGGGATGTTCCAGGCGGGGCTGTCCTTGGGTGCAAAGGCCAGGATTCATGCGCCACGGGGAACACAGGAATTGCAAAGGGTTGGACTTGGTTGGGGATGAAGGAGCCTATGAGGAGCCAGGAAGAGGCAGCAGAAACAGCGCAGATGTGCAGGATACCCCCAGGTGTATTTGGGAACCTGGACCTCACCTTGAGAGTGATGGGAGGAGACAGATGCGATGTGTGCTTTAGGAAGGCCACCCTGGCCTGGGCAGGGAATAAATTTCCGGGCACCGAGGAGAGGGAAGCTAAGTGGCAGTTTACAAAACCAAAATCCCACTCACATTTTTACTTTTGTAACAGGTTAAATTATTCCTGGTACTATTTCAATAAATGCCTGCTTGACTTGGTACATCAGAACATGTGGATTTTTTAAATTGACAATATCTAACTTCGATGATAAAAATCAAGCCCCTTTGCTAATATTCATGAGCCCTTTTATTGGGTTGGATGACCCAGGCTCCACTCAGGAATTTTTTTCAGTTGACTGAGAACATGGTGAAACGTGGACACATCACAGGGACTGGGGGTTGGGACTTTCTGGGAAAGCATCCAGCAGAGTGCCTCATTGTTCTCTGACAGCAGACACTTGAGCACAGGTGCGTTTGGGCGGTTATGGAGAGAAATTGTGGCAACCTCGATTCAGCTCAATCAAATGGGCATCTGTGAACATCTCAGAAGGTCCTAGCCCTGTAGAGAGGGCAGAATATGATGAAGAATTGGTGCCACACAACTAACTCTACCAGTATGTTGAGAATTTGTTGAGTTCTAGATATATAATAAAATATATTAAAAATAATGCTATATATTTTTTGCTTCCAAAGGAATTTACAATCTGTATTTAAGGCAAGATCTCTCTATGTTCACAATGACTGTAATTTACAATGACAAAACTGCCTCTGTCAGATTACCTGACGGCCATGCTCACAGATGCCCTTGAAGTTCAGAGAAGGGTGGCAGTGGTTGGGCGAGGGACGGCCCGGGGTCAGGACCTGGGACACAGGCTGGAGCAGGAGGGAAGGCTGGAGAGCCATGTGTGAAATGGGCCCTCCACTGCCTGCGGGTGGGCACAGCCCTGTCTGTGAGACAGAGTTGCTCCTGAAGAAAGCCTCTTGATAACCGCAGTTACGATCAATCGTGTGACTCGCTTCTGGTAGAAGCCCACCCTCCCTGTCCCCACAGTCTCTTGACCAGGAAGTTCATCCCAAGGGGCAACGATTGAGCTGTCCACTGGGGCACAGTTCTCAGCTCGGAGAGACCACCCTTAGTTCTGGGCCAAGGGGTCCCCTCCACAATGGGGGGAGAAGGAGAATCTCTATATAAGACCCAGCCTTGCATAACATAATGCAATGTTGTCATGGGGTGAGCCCCCCTCTTATTCACAGGCCTGCCCACTCTCAAGGGAGGGGATTATTCATGATGTGTACATCCAGGGGTGGGGCTCTTGGGGGCCATGTTGGGACTCTGCCCACACAGCAGGTCCCCAGGACTAGTGCACATTATTATTTCTCTTCCACAGCCCTCATTTCTCAGCAGTGCTCTCTATCCTAGTCATGCCTGACACTTCTTTGATTCTCTGACATTCTGCATGTAATTTGGTCCTCCAATAACTGAATTCTCCAGCCAATTTCAGATCTTTTCCTGCAGAAGTCCAGTGCTTCCACCACAGCCTGGCTGTGTGATGTGTTGACTCTGTCTCCCCTCCTGAAGCATGTTCTGGGGTCTTGGGGTCACCTCCTGACAATCAGCAACTGTAATCCCGGGAGTGTCTGAGTGGTCAGTGTGCCGGCCACCAGGGGACTGGGCACGTGTGCAGGCAGAGCTCTGTCTTGGTGGGATGGCGTATCTGAGACTGTCGGAGGACTGTGCTGCTCCCCGCCGTTGGCAGGCACCCACATTCCTCCTTTAAGTCATCATTGGAGTGTCACCTCTGACTCAGAGTCATGACAATATGGCCAGGTGGTCCCTGGAGGCTGGGCTGGTGGCCATGCCCTCTCTTCTCCAGCCTCCCGCACCTCATGCTTCTCCCGCTGGCGGACTCTCCTTTGATTCTCCATTAGCGTCTGAGTTGCTATCTGTTCCCATTTCTTTTAAAACACAGGCCCAGAGAAGGAGCAGCAGTGTGGACGCAGGCCGGGCGCAGTTTCCAACCCCGACAGATGCCGCCATAAAATGGCATCGACCCCTGGGCAGGGGTCAGAGGCCACCGCTGTGGCTACGTGGCACAGGGGGCTCCCTGCATGGCACTGTCTGCACCTCAGATGTCACTGCTGGAGAGATGGCAGGCCGAGGGAGGCTGCAGTTCAGAGGTAAGAAGCTGGTACCTCTCTGGGGGGCACATGAGCTAGGCCCCTCTTTTCACAGCTGTTTTCAATGTTCAGTCCATGAAAATAACCTTGTTTGAAAAATCCCCAAGTGTTTTGCCAGAACAAGTAGCAAAATGGCGACCTCTTCACTGCAGCACTTGGCGGTGGTCATCTCATGCCTGGATGAATACAACCATCTCCTATCGGCTCCCCTGTCCCCCAGCGTCCTTTTCCCTCCAACCATAGACCCTGCTTCCCAAGGGTTCTCTTTCTTGAGGCCTCAGACTGGTCAGCCAGCACCCAGGGCCCCCGTGGCCTGGCCCGAGCTGCTACCCCAGGTTCAACGGGGCAGCTGCCTGGCCAGCTGGGCTCTGCGTTGCCATCATGTGGGGCCCACCTTGCCCTGAGCACCCATCCCAGCCAGCAAGGGTCCCCCATAAAGTAGCAGCTCCCCCCACTCCACCTGCTGTGCATGGGAGGGGCCGACTCTGGATCAGAAGCCACTGAGAGGTGACCAGGGTCCTGTGCACATAGAGAAAAGTCACCGATGGAACTGGTTCCAACCTC